GCTGTTTCTTTTTTTTTTTTTTTTTTTTTTTTTTTTAAAACGTGTATGAATATTAGGCACATGTACACATATTACACATTTGTATACTCATGTAAACATATGCCCATGTGTGAGTTTTTATTTTGTGCGTATCTACATGTTTGAAAAAGTACTGGAGAATATACACTCGTGTGCGTAATTATTATTGTTCTCTTTTTTTTTTTTTTTTTTTCTTTTAATTCTTCCTGGTCGTTGTGAAGGCTGTAGGCTGATTTCTTTAACAATTCCTGGACACGCGCGAAGAGGGGGGAATTCACTATCAGTGAAAACTCAAAGAGGAAGCAACAGACGGCAACAAAAAAAAAAGCGGCAAAAAATAGCCCATTGTAATAGAGCTCCAAGGCCCTGGAAGGATAGCAGCGAGACGCGCTGCCATCACTAAAGGAACTCTCGAAACATGTCTTCTTTCTCAATCACTGCTAAGCAGCACAGGGAGTTAAAACTGTACACGCCGCGCACTTAAACGTGCGCTCGTGTTGAACCTCCCCATTGTGGACCCACTTACGGAAGCGAAGAAGAGAGCCTTCTACGCGCACACAATCACACTTGAAACATAAGTCCTTAATGAATGAAAATACTTACGCAAAAATGGAGGAAGAAAATGAAAAAGGCGAGGGAAGGACGATGAAGGGCGTGATAAAGAACAAGTACGGCTTCCCCTTGAGTGTTCATTACATGAGAATACGCATTCTTGTGTAAATGTCCCCTCGCACTAGTGATTGCGTGTGTGTGTGCAACTTAAGAGGAAACGTTGCCCCTGGAAAGAACAAATCATTTGTCTTTCAATCCTGTTCCCATTCCGTCTTGTTTTTTCCCCCCACCAGGTATTATATCTCCCCCCAGTTTTTGGACCAAAAGAAAGAAGCAGAATACAACGCCCTGAGGATACACAACATAAAAGAATATATCTGCATCCACTTAACGGTGTCTCTATTTATTATCCTAGTAGAATTCTTCGCCTTTTCTGCAAGTAAAAAAAAAAAAAAAAAAA